CTGGCCCTCCTCCCTCTCATGCTCTCTGTCTCTCAGTCTCTCTGTCTCAAATAAATAAATAAAATCTTTAAAAAAAAAAAAAAAAGGCAAAATTAAATGGGATTGATTCCCCCCCCCCCCCCTTTTAGGGCCAATTTTCTAATGGAGAAAAATCTCAAAGTAACTTCTGTAATTATTTAGAGAACAGGGAATATAGGGAGTAAGAAGATTTTTAAAAATCATTTTAGCATTTATAAGGATTTAAAAATATGTGCCTAGATTATAGTCCTTTGCTTTACCTTTAAAAATTGAGTTAGATCTCATGTAGGTAAAGTTTAGAAATGTAGCTTTATTATATTAAAAAGCAAAAGTAGTATGGTTTGAATTTATAAATTATACTTCAAGGTTGGGAGGTGGCTGCTTTTTTTTGTTTTTTGCTTTTTTCTTTTTGAGGGATTTATTTGATTCCAGATTTTAAAGCCTTTAAAAAATGTTAAAGCTGGAGAATCCAGGCCATGATTGACCTTTCTTTGTAAAGGAAGGAAGCCTATCTTTCCTGGTACCTGAGTACCAGTTTTTTTTCAGCTTGTGATAAAACCTAACTTTTGCAGTATTTCTTTTCTATTTTAAATGCTACTACCTACTGGGTAAACTACTTTTTTTGCTTGATTTTTAAATGTTTAAATTATGTAACATGGAGCAGGCAAAATTACACCATAAAACTGTTTTTAAAAAATCCACAAAAAGAGGGGGCGCCTGGGTGGCTCAGTCGGTTAAGCGGCTGCCTTCGGCTCAGGTCATGATCCCAGGATCCTGGGATGGAGCCCTCCATCGGGCTCCCTGCTCAGCGGGGAGCCTGCTTCTCCCTCTCCCTCTGCCTGCCTCTCTGCCTACTTGTTCTCTCTCTCTATCTCTCTGTCAAATAAATAAATAAAATCTTAAAAAAAAAAAAATCCACAAAAGAAATTTTTCTCCATGAATAGATTTTAATGTGTTGTTTTTCTTCTCCTTGATATATTTTACTTGTCATCTTGCCATGTGGTGGTATAGTTAACTTGCATTTCCAGATTAGTCCATATGTAAATGTGTTTAACATGGGTGTCTCTGTAACAGGAATCTTACCCATCTTCTTCACCAATATGGTTTGTGGACTCTGATGACCCAAATCTGACATCAGTGCTGGAACGTCTAGAAGATACTAAGAGCAACAATTCGGTGAGAAAATAAGCCAACCTACTATTTTTTTTCCCCCCTAAAGAACGTTATATGTAGAACTTAAGTGTTAAGAGGTAATATGATATAGAAAAGCCTGATTGATGATTATTTGATAATCTTAAAGGAGCTAAAGACCAGTTTTGTTTGTTTATTTTTTGGCCTTCAAATTCTGTACTACCTGATATCTTTTTTATTCCCCATAGGTTAAACTTAATTTAGATGAGGAGTTAGGTGGTCTCTTTTCAGTGAATTCTGATTTTAAACCAACCAGACATTTTTGGTAGGGAACACTAGCCAAGGTGGAAGATAGAAAAAGAAAAAAAGACTGAGGTGGATGTGAGGGGAAATAATGCTAGAATGACATCAGTGCTAGTGTTAGGGAATTGCTTTCTCTCTCAGAAGTCTGTAACTGCAGTAATAGTCATAGGTATAAAAAGAAAATGCATTTTTTGTTTTTTGCTTTTTTTTTAATATATGAAGAAATGTAACTTTCCATTTTACAAAAAATTTAAAAATCAGTTTTTGATTATAAAACTAAGCGACTATTGTGAGAGCACTTAGTAAAATAAAGGGAAATAAGATTTCTGCCTGATATAACCACTGTTGACATGTTAGCTATTTCCTATCCATATTTTTCCCTTGCTAGTAAAATACATGGACTCTAATAAATATGTTTAAATAGTTGAGGTCATATTCTATATAGTTTTATATCCTTTTTTAAAATTAACATGGAATGAAAGATTTGACTGCTATCTTCCTAGATGGGCAGACTGCATATTATAAATATGTCTGTTACCTCCGTAGTTTCATGTTAATTTATAAATTGAATGCAGTTAATCCCAACAGTCTTATTTTGGGACTCTAAAGTTGGTTTTAAAGAGTAAATAAAAAAATAGTTGAAAAAAGTAATGAGGAGAGACTTGTCCAATTAGATGTTAAATAAAAATATTATGGGGCGCCTGGGTGGCTCAGTTGGTTAAGCGACTGTCTTCGGCTCAGGTCATGATCCTGGAGTCCCAGGATTGAGTCCCACATCAGGCTCCCTGCTCAGCAGGGAGTCTGCTTCTCCCTCTCATGCTCTCTGTCTCTCATTCTCTCTCTCGCAAATAAATAAAAAATCTTAAAAAAAAAAAATTTTAAAAAATAAAAATATTATGTACTGGCAATGGACTGGACATATAAAGACAATAGAAGTTTAAAAACACTCATGCAATTGAGAATTCAGAATAAGATAAAATACTCAATGAGGAAAAGGTAGATTATTCTATAAATATCATTGGGAGAACCGACCATTTAGGGAAGACCACCTGCCTTGGTCTTTCCTGAGCTCTTATCTCAGATTTTTGTTAAAATAAGTTACAGGTGGTTTAAACACATCTATTCTTAAAATTAACAACAGAAGAAATCAGTTTGAGGAGTATTTTAAGAGTAGAGGCTGGTCTGGAGAGCCATGAAGGTTAGAGGTAAAAATAAAAAGCTAGACAGATACAAGTTCATATTTCCAGTAGGGGAGTGACAAGACAGGGAAAGATAGCCCTTTTACTCCTTTTAGGAGGTTAACTCTAAAAAGATCTACAGATATAAGTTTTGTAATAGTAGAAATGATTGGGTTATTTTTCAGTGTCTAAAATTTTTCCTCAAAAAATGCTCACAAAATGAAATGACATAGAACATAAAATTGGGTCTCATTTTATTTTTTAAAGATTAATGTATTTACATAAAAGAAGAAAACCAGATTACCTTCTACTCTTATAGTCTCTGCCAGTTATTTCATAACCTAGTTTCTTGACAGAATAAGTTGTATTTCCTCACCTTTGCTTTACTTAATTCATTTTAATCTGGATTCTGCCTTCATTGTTGCACTAAAATTTTTTATGTCTAGGTGCCAAATCCAGGGAATCCTTTTTTAACCCTAAAATTGACCTCTCTGCAGCACTTTGTTAGTGGTGATTGTTCCTTTGTTGAAACATTCCTCCATTTAACAAACATTTATTAAAGTCTACCAATCAAAAGCTGGTTAAATAAAAGCTGCTGTGTATAGTTTTATGATAGAGTATTATATTGTAGTTAAAAATAATGCAGCCAGTCTTTCCATAGGAATGCATACAACTTTCAAAGTTATGCAAGTGAAAAGGCAAGGCATAGAATATTGTTTATAGGGCGCCTGGGTGGCTCAGTTGGTTAAGCGACTGCCTTCAGCTCAGGTCATGATCCTGGAGTCCCGGGATCGAGTCCCGCATCGGGCTCCCTGCTCGGCGGGGAGTCTGCTTCTCCCTCTGGCCCTCCTCCCTCTCATGCTCTCTGTCTCTCAGTCTCTCTGTCTCAAATAAATAAATAAAATCTTTAAAAAAAAAAATATTGTTTATAATCTGGCCCCTTTTGCAAACAGTGTTGTAAAAAATAAAAAAATCTGTATCTGTGTGGGTTTATACATACTTTTCTCTTCCTGGGTGTGTATAGGAAACTGTTAATAGTAGAACAGAGAGAAGTATCTTTTTTTAATTGGCTGGCTTCTATGCCAGGCTCTGTGATAAGTGGTGGGTACAAAAGTCAAGTCCTATCCCTGTCCTCTGGGAACTGATAATCTTAGGAGAACTTCCATCAGATTACTGTCTCCTATTTTTATCTCTTAATACCCTGCCTTGGTCTTCCCTGAGCTCTTGTTCCTTGGTCTGCCTCTTCTCATTCCATGCTTTCTCCGAGAAATCTCTTTTACTACTATTGCTTAAATCATGGTCTGTATTCCAGGGATTTCTAAATCTTTATCTTTAGCTAAAATTTATCTCCTGAGTTTCAAACCCATATATCTATCTATATATCCTATAGATCCAGGGAATCTCACTTGGATGTGCCATGGCTGTTCAAAATGATTATATCTAAATTTAAACTTCCCTACCTTGTGGCACTCCAGCACCCCCATTGAGTTCCCCTTAGTAATTCTCTTTGTGATTGTGAGTGGGACAAGATGAAATAATGAAGCTTGTCCCACCCATGGCTGAACCAGGAAACTAAAAGTTCTTTTTTATGCCTGTATTTCCTCATACCTCCCTTCTCCAAACTACCTAGTAAGGTTTTAATACTTGTCCATCTACCTTCTAAATATTTCTTAAATCTTTTCCCACCATCTTAGTTTCTTCCATCCTTCAAATGCTTTTTTGGGGGAGTTGAAATTCCTGAAAGATGTACAACCCTATTTTTCTTGTTGCTTGGTATTACTACCACATTGCTGCCTCTCCCACAGCACTCCCTTAGCTCTTCCTTTGCCAAGGGTTGGAGTGTCTGGGTCTGTGTCCAGGTCAACCTTTCTCATCTTCATTATGTTCTTGAAACAAAACAGAGCTTATTGGAGGGGTAAATCCACAGTGCCTTTTAAGCTTGACGGTTTTTGTTTGTTTGTTTTTATCCTAATCTACTGCTCAGCTTTCCTAATTTCTGCTTGTTCCTTTGGCAACTTTGGAAAGTCTTATTCTTTCTTTGTTGACCCATTCTAATCCAGTTTCTGTTTTCTAGTCCTTCATAAACCTGTTTTTTCATCTCTTTTCCTGGTCAGAGACATCCAGGAAACTGTTCCTGACCAGGTGAAGTAAATTACTTGATTAGCTCCGGGTAAGGTCTACTAAGTATTTAACATTGTTCTTAAACCATAATTCCTAAACGTATACATTGAAAAGTTTTTTTATTTCAACAATGAAAAACATGTTCAAAACATAACTTACCTTGCTTCTTTGCTTGAAGTAAATATGCTTACAAAACAATCTGGATGTAAAAATGGGAATTTAATGAGATACTCCTTGCAAAGTTTTCCTAGTGCATTTTTTTCCCTTTCTTTTTTTTTTTTTTTTGACAGATGCCTAAGAACCTACTAAGTGCCAAGTGTTTTCACAGAAGGTTTCATTTAATCTTTACCATTATAAGAAGTTTTTAATTTTCTTGTTTTACAGATGGGGACCTCAAACTCAGGGAATTAGGTGCTATATCCAAGATCCTTTAGATTCCAAGAGTCTGTCTACTAGACCACATTTGCCTCTACTTTTAAATGAATATGACTGGAATGTATAATTTTATAACCCGTGTGTAACAACACTGCCTCTGGGTTTGTTTGTTTGCTTTTTTTTTTTTTTTGGTCTTGTCGCCTCATTAATGTAAGTGTATTCTTGTCTGAAGTCGCAAGTTTCTAAGAAAAGGAGTTAGCAATTGAAAATTCGACAATATCTGGAGCTCTCCTTCCTCAGCCTTTTTGTTGTTGTCATTCTGCTAGGTATTAGTTATAGGGATTGTACTCAAGCCATAGTAACTTTCTTATACTAGCAGCCCCTAAAAATATTTCGTAAAGACTGTTATTTTATCTGTAGGCTGTAATTGAGCAGTAACAAACTTTTTTCATTTCCTACTGGATTGGTTACAGTAGTCATAGCATTATTCATGTCTTCTAAGGGCTCTTTAACATAATGCTTATTTACTGAAATGTGTTTTGTAGCTTCGTCAGCAATTGAAGTGGTTGATATGTGAACTCTGCAGATTATATAACCTTCCTAAGCACCTGGATGTTGAGATGCTAGATCAACCAATACCCACGGGTCAGGTAAAGTAAAAATTCTCTAGTGTTCAAGAGCTAAAATAAATTGTCTCAAGCAGAAGTAAAACTAGGATGATTTTTCTTCTTATTATGCAACTTATTTAGAAGGTGTTGGATTGTTTGTTTTATTTTAGATACTAAAAATAACCTGTTTACTCTTTGGAGCTGCTGGTATTTACTATGACAGGGAAGCAACTGCCTCCCTCCCCACTACCACCTTTTTGTTGTTAACATTCCTGATTTCCATAACTGTTCCTTCAGTTGTTTGCCTTTGCTTATTCATTTGCCTTCACCTGGAATGCCATCGCCTTTTAAGCCTATCTCTGCTTCTTAAGGCTTAACCCAAATGTTACTTCCTCTAGTGCCCAGAAGTGCCCACTAGTTCACCACCACCTGTAACTTTTCTAGATTTCCAGATTTACCTATTTAGGGCATAATTTACTGACTTTGTACTATAAATAAGGATTTAGCTCTTATACCACCTACCTTCTCACCCATCTCCCTTCCTAAAACACCATTATATTTAGTCATATGAATAATCACTGTTTATCATTAGGACTTTGTAGTGTAGAGTTTTCTCTTGTGACATTTCTTGTAGAGCTCTTTGTTTTGCAGTGTCCTCCTCATAATAATAATTCTTAGTTTAAAAAGTCATGTTCTGGGGCGTCTGGGTGGCTCAGTCAGTTAAGCGTCTGCCTTCGGCTCAGGTCACAGTCCCAGGGTCCTGGGTTCTAGCCCAGTATCAGGCACCCTGCTCAGCGGGGAGCCTGCTTCTCTCTCTCCCCCCCCCGCCCCCACTGCTCTTCCTGCTTGTGCTCTTTTACTCTCACTCTCACTGTCAAATAAATAAATAAATAAAATCTTAAAAAAAAAAAAGTGATACTCTGGCTCTTTTCTTCGAGCTCTTGGCTCTTCTAGAGCCTTTGGTTCTTTTGCACCAGTCTTGGCAGGTTGGTCTCTGGGCTGGCTGTGCAGCTGTCATCTTGAAATTTTTGTCTCCTCTGCTAGTGTGGATCTATTGTTACCTGGTCTCATGTCATCTTTCTTGCTTACCCTTTCTCATTTTGCCTGAGTACATCTTCAAGTAAAATTCTAGCATGAAGGAGTAGTACATTTTTTGAGTTCTGACATCAAAAAATATATGACCAGACCACCATAGGGTTGAATCTTGGTTCTGCTTATTAGCTGTATGACCTTGTGATAATTACCCAACCACTGTGTGCATCAGTTTCTTTTTAAAATGGGGGAAATAGTAGTACCTATATTTTGCGGGGAGCTATGAAGATTAAATGAGTTAGTATATGTAAATAATTTAGAGCAGTGCATGGTTTATAGTAAATGCCCAGTAAATGTTAACTGCTATTATATTTTACTTTGCATTTGGTTGATGGTTAGGTTGAATATATAATTCTGGGTTAAAAATCATTTTTCCTCAGAATTTCAAAGACTGTTCTGCTATCTTCTAGCCAACGGTGTTGTTTAATTTAAGCCTGATGCCATTCTAAGTCTTACTCATCTATGCGTGACTTGGGAAACTTTTAAGAGATTGTCTTGGTGTTCTCAGATATCACAATGGTGTATTTTTAGTTGTGGTTTTTTGTTTTTGTTTTTTCATTGTTGCTGGACACTCAGTATGGATGTGTCTTTTCAGATGTGGGTTCCTTTATCTTTCTCCTTGGGTAAGTGTTCTTGTATTTTTTTCTGTGATAACTTCCTCCTTTCCATTTTATTTGTTCACTTTTAGAATGCCTACTAATGGGATTTTAGACCTCTTTGCTTGAGTCTTTGTATCTTTTATATTATCTCCATATTCACTTTTTAAATTTCAAATTCTGAAAGTTTTTCCTTCAATTTTTAAAAATTTTATTTGGACAGCATAACTTTTTGGTTGTGTTTTATTTACTGCTGCTTAACCTCTTACCCCAAACTTAATTTATTCTATTTATCACAGTTGTGTGGGCTGATTAGGCTTAGCTGGACAGTTTTTTTCTGCTGACCTCACTGCACATTCAGATAGTGGCTGGGACTGGTGGTCATGACCTGAGCCGAAGGCAGACACTTAACGGACTGAGCCACCCAGGCGTCCCTAAAGTCTAGGACAGTTTAAATAAAAATTCAACTGGGTCCAATTTTGCCTCCCATGAGCTATCTGGAGATAATTTTGGTTGTCACAACTGGCTGAGGGGAGTGCTATGGGTGTTTTGTGGGTAGAGGGGATGTTACTAAATGTCCTACATGACAAAGAATTATCTAGCCCAAAATATCGGTACTTCCAAGGTTGAGAAACCATGGTTTAAATAAACATCTGAGCCTGATCTGTTTTTCTCTTTTTCTGTATATTAGTCTTCATTTTTTCCATTCCTTTAGTCATTTTTAGTAATTTTAGATTCTAAAAAAATCACTTCATCTGTACTTTTGAATCTATGGTTATGAAGCTCTTTTCATTTCTAAAGTTGTTTTCTTTACCATGATTACTTGTCAGAAGCTTGTCTGTTTTATTATACTGGTCTTTTGAAAGAATCAGTCCTTTTATTTTTTTAAATCTAATTTTCTTTTTCATTTTTGTGTGTGTCTTAACTCTTTTTTTCTTTTGCCTTTCTAGTTTATTGGACCACTGTGATTTAAATTGCTTTAACAAACATGTAAAGGTACACATTTTCTTCTGCATGCTATTTCACTTCATGGCATAGGTTTTAAGATTTAGTATATTTATTTTCTAAATAGTTTGTATTTCCTAAGTGATTTCATTCCATCTTTTGTTCATATTACTTTGTTATATTTCACAAGAAGTTGTATAGGTGTAGAAAACATATAAACATGAGCGTAATAGTTACAGTAAATACCTGGGAACTACCACCCAGCCCCGACCCAGGTGAAGAAACAGACTATTGCTAGTACTACAAACCTTCTGCACGTTCCTTCCAGATGATCATTCCCTTCAATGCTAATCTTTTCCTTTTCCCTAGTTTTTAATCATATATATCTGCATTTCTGAACAATATGATTTAGTATTGACTTTTTAAGCTTCATATTGAGTCATACTATATGTGTGTTCTTTGTCTTTTGCTTAACATTGTGTGTTAAATTTATTCATATGTGTAGCTGTGGTTCTTTTTCATTGCTGTATTTATTCCATTCTTTGAACATACCATTACAGATTTATCCATTTGAGTTGATTGCAGTTTGCTATTAGGAACAGTGTGGGGCGCCTACTTGGCACTGCTGGTTAAGCGTCTGACTCTTGGTTTTGGCTCAGGTCGTGCTCTCAGGGTTGTGAAGTTGAGCCCCACATCAGCCTCCACACTCAGAGCAGAGTCAGCTCAAGATTCTCTCTCTCCCTCTCCCTCTGTTCCTCCCGGATGTGCTTGCGCTCTCTCTCACTCCCTCTCTCAAAGAAATAAATCTGTCTCTAAAAAAAAAAAAAAAAAAAAGAACAGTGTGCTACCATAATCATTCTTGTCCATATTTTGTGGGATACTTGTGTAAGCATTTTTCTGGGCACATACTTAGAAGTTGGATTACTGGAGCAATTTCTTCTTAAACCTAAGAGTTCTTTAGAAAAAGTTTTTAACATTCTCAGGTGGCCTTTGGGCTATTTTTAGTTTTTCACTACAATATGGCCTGTAACTTCTCAGCTGAATTATCAACAATTGCTTAAACTTAACCATTGGTGTTACTATGTCTTTGCTTATTGCTGTGTCTTATATTCCATGGTTGCTTCCTACTCTGAAAATAGATCCCTTACTAACGTTCTCTATTGTTATTTTTAGAAAGGATTTCTAGGAATGCGTGGAGAGTGTTCCTTGAATATCAGTGTCTGTTTTTATTATTCATTCAACCCCTATCCGTCTGACTGTGTGCAAAGTACTCTATAGAGGTGCTGAGGATCCAGTGGCAAAGAAACAGATATGGTGCCTGTCCCGATGGAACTAGACATAGAATTCTAAGTTCATAATTGAGTCTCTTCTAGGTTCTTTACGCTTTTATCTTCCAGTATTTATTGTTACAGATGAAAAGCCTGATGTCTGGTTCTTCTTTTCCTATATATTTGTTTTCTTTCTGGAAGTTGGTATGGTTTTTTCTTTAACTGTGAAGTATAGGGTTTTACTTTTCAGTATTCCTTTGGGGCATTCAGAGCCACTTAATATTCTGAAGTCTTTCTTTAGCTTGACAACCTTTGTCTCTTATTTCTTTCCCTCAGTCTTATGGGTAAATAGCGGATGAATATTAGTTCTGGGTATTCCTATCTCCCATTTCCCGTAACTCTTCTATTTCAGTACCCCTTCCTCTCCCCACCCCCTATCTCCTTTTTTCTCTATATTCTAAGGGAATGTCACAGTTTGGTCATCTTCTTAATCATAAATGTTTTGTTGATTCAAATCCATTGTGCTCTCTGGTCCTTCTACTAAGTGTTTTTTTCCTTTATCTTTTTTTTTTGAAGAGGAAATCTTTTTTATTTCCCAGAACTGTCTTTTCCTTTGCATGGTTATCTTTTTTATGTTTTGTGGATACAGTATCTTCTCAAGTACTGCTAAGGATTCCAATTAGATTTTTTTTGTTTTATTTTCTTCATTAATAATGCTTCAGGTCACTTGTTCTGTTTGTTTGACTTGGTGCCTTTTTTCCAGAGTGCCGGTTTTCTTCAAATGTCTGGTGATACTTGGTCATCTGCTCATTTATAGATGAGGTATACCATTGATCACATTGTCAGTGGTTGATGTGAGTGCCCTCAGTAATTGTCACTCTTCTCTGCCTGGTTTGTACACCTGTGCTCTGGCTATGGCTTGTGAATGGAGAGGTACTAGCAGGCAGACTTTCCAGCTCCTGAGTTCAAGGAAGAGATGAGTGAGTTAGATTTTGCTGCTGTGTTGAGTTATATTTTTAAAAATGTCTTTTCTCTGTGGTTCTGACACTTATACTAAGAGGCCATCAAGTTAGGCCTCCTATGTAAGAAAGTGATCCTTGGGGCACCTGGGTGGCTCAGTCGTTAAGCGTCTGCCTTCGGCTCAGGTCATGATCCCAGGGCCCTGGGATCAAGCCCCGCATCGGGCTCCCTGCTCAGCGGGGAGCCTGCTTCTCCCTCTCCCACTCCCCCTGCTTGTGTTCCTTCTCTCGCTGTGTCTGTCTCTGTCAAATAAATAAAATCTTAAAAAAAAAAAATCCTTACCAGCTGTAGTTGGAACAAATACAGCAAGTATTTCTAGAAGGAAAAAAAAAATCATACTAACTTTATGCATTGTGTTGTGAACTCTGCTCTGGTTCAGAAAACTTGTCTTTTTGAACTCTGCCAAAACTAGGTATGAAGGCCCTTCCTAAAACCCCATCAGATTATTTGTGAATGAGTGGTAAATTGTAGAGAAGTATTCTGTGGTAAATGACATGTTGTAGAAAAGAAAAATGGCTCTTTAGTGAAATGGTGATCATTTTACAATTTTGTAGTTTTGTAAAACATCTACTCCTTTATGACACATTTTCCTTTTAAAATGTGAGGAATGTATGGAAAGATTTAGGCTTTTCAAAGTTAAAAAGGTAGATATTTTAAGGAACCTATGGTTTGGGATATTTGTTTTAAGTGAAAGAAGCCATTCATTGACCTTATATACATAGCCATAGATATAAAATGTTTTCTTATTTTAAATTAGAATATTTTAAATTTTTTTCCAGTTTTGCTTTATATTGGACTAATTGCTGTTGTTTATTCTCAAGGCATCTATCAAGTTGAATCGTTCAAAAAAAATTTTTTTTTAAAGCTGATAAATACTGTCACATCAAACCTGGATTTAAAAGTAAATATTCAACTTTAATAAATTCTATTAGTGGAACTAGAGTGACAGATGACTGATAGTTTGTCCCTAAAGTCTTCTAATGTCCTCAGTATGTGCTTATTCTGTGCAGCCCTAGCAAATTGGTTTTGTTTTTCAGAATGGGACCACAGAAGAAGTGACTTCAGAAGAGGAGGAAGAGGAAGAGATGGCTGAAGTAGGTATTTTATGTAAGAATCATGTTTTATAAATACCGTACCTTCATTTTTGAATATTTTTGAATCTCCTTTATAAACCAGTGTTAATGTGGAATAATGAAAACCCCATTGCATTTGAAATTGAATATAATTTCTAAAATCTGGCTTTAGCTTTAATTAATGATGTTTTTGAGCAAAATGTTTGATTTCCTAGAAAATCTCTTAACATTTAGCATTAAAATTATATTTACATTTAATAGTAATCAATGCTTAACCCATATTTGGTTATTTTTAAGAAGAGGAACTGCTAAGTTTCAAAAATCCTGAATTTAAATAAAAGGAGAATTTGAGAACGTTTCAAGGACTACTCACTAGAAGTAATAAAGCTATCTCATGTTGAAAAACCATCTAAGAATTTGGTAGGGCAGATTCTAAGACCTTGACCTTAGGCCAGTTTAGTTACCAGGCACTGATATAATTTTAGAGGTTTTCAGACTCTGAAGCTTTGTGTTTAAATTCTGTGTCTCTTCATTGACCATGTAAAAGGTATTTGAGTTCCACAGTCTTGATTTTAAAACCTTCTTACTGGTTTGGATCTTAGAATTAATTCAGGTTATTACCTTATTTTCTTGATGTGCAAAATCTTAAATCTTAAATACACTTCTTAGAATGCCTTAAAACTCAAGAAGTAGTTGTGGTTTGTTTTGTGAGTCTGGGAGCAAAATAATTCTTTTTTTTTAAGATTTTATTTATTTATTTTACAAAATGAGAGAGACCACAAGCAGTGGGGGAGGGGTACAGGGAGAGGGAGAAGCAGGCTCCCCACCAAGCAGGGATCCTGATACAGGGCTCGATCCCACGACCCTGAAATCATGACCGGAGCCGAAGGCAGATGCCTAACTGACTAAGCCCCTCATTTGTCTCCCAAGATAATTCTTAACACTGTCTAATTTGTATGATTTTTTTGGGATAGTTTGTTTTTCACATTTTCATGCAGTGTAATTTAGGTAGAATAAACTGCAGGAAAATAGTAAACCTTTTCCATGGGTTCGGTGTCCGATGAAATAGAGATTCTACTCAGAGTTTATGTACTTCTCATTTTTTTCCTTTGCAAGATAATATAAAGAAGGGACAGCAACGTTTAGGGAAATCTAGAAAGATAGGATCCTGGATTTCAGAGATGTCAGATTAAGATAGGAGAAAATATAATCTAGGTAACTAAAATAATGGTAAAAAAGGCACAGAGCAAGCTTTGGGCATGGTGTGTTTAGGTGCATTGGAGATTGACGTGTTGGAGTCATGGAAAGCAAGTTTGGCTAGAAAAGCAGATGGCTTAAAGTCTTGAATTAGAGACAAATATGTTTATATTTGGTGTGATTGTTGAGAAAAAGGCCTTGAGCAGAGAATAGTGTGCTGAGAATGTTGTTTTATAAAGATAATCTGCACAGAACAGAATTCATCATTAATACTCAAGTGGAGAAGATTTTTGGATAGGAATGTGGCTGTGTTTAAAGGTGGAGGAGGAAGAGGAGATCCAGACTAAGGACATTTCTGAAGAAAATAAGTGTGGAATAGAACATTGGGGCTGCAAGGTACAAATCAGGGGAGGGAGCTCCATGAAACATGGAGTCATGGACAGAGTCTCAATAAGAAAGGAATGTTAATAGGGGTTGAGGAGATGAGAGTCTAAAGAAAAAGACCATTGGGTCTGGATGGAAGTGGTTTTTAAACTGGTCTACAAATCACAGTGAATTAGTTTCCTTAAAAAAATGGAGATAGTAATTATCAGCTACTCCTTTAGAGATTTTGATGATTGAAGTAAAGAGAAGTTAAGATAATAGAAAAAGGTTAGGATTTTAAAAGTTCTGCATAGATTTGTTTAAACAGGAGTAGATGATATGGAAAAGGAGGAAGGAGAATGATGTAGTGATTAAAGATGTTAGCCAAGGGCTGCTATTCAAATTCATAGTCTAATTTTTTCCCTAATTATAAGAATCAGTAGGTGCTCACTACAGAAAACTTGGAAAAGAAAGAAAAGCACTAAATGTCTCTAGAGATTATTATTTCAGTATATGTCCTTCTAGCCTCTTTTTTTTTTTTTTTTTAAAGATTTTATTTATTTATTTGACAGAGAGAGAGCGAGAGCAGGAACACAAGCAGGGGAAGTGGGAGAGGGAGAAACAGGCTTCCTGAGGAGCAGGGAGCCCGATGTGGGACTCGATCCCAGGATGCTGGGATCAAGACCTGAGCCGAAGGCAGATGCTTAACGACTGAGCCACCCAGGCGCCCTCTAGCCTCTTTTTTTTTCTGTCCTTATTTTAGCATGACTGAGAAACAAAGATTGTATTCTTTGTTTTTCATTGCATTATTTTTTCCATTTAATACATTTTATTTAACCTAATATATTTAAATTATTGTCATTTCAACATGTGATATAAAACAAAATTATGAGGCCTTCATATTTTTTCTCACTAGGTCTTCCGAATCGGGTGTGGACTGTACATTTACAGCACATCTGAGTTCAGACTAGCCACATTCCAAGTGCTCAGCAGCTGCAAGAAACAAGGGTCTGCCCTGCTGGACAGCACAGCTCTAACTAGTATAGGCCCTGTGGTCGCCCAGGGGTGCCCAGCCCACAGCTCAACCCAGGGTTGTGGTGGGGTCCCCCCCGGTGGGTTCTCAGGTTTGGGTTTGGGGCTGCTGCACTGCCTCACCCCCAGGCAGCAGCCAGAAACAGCTGAGACCCAGTTGAGCACAGAACCTGGCGCCCACAGTGGCCAACTTTGTCCACTCACTGTGCCACCATCCTCACCACACTTTTGTTTCATTATTGATGCAGAAGAAACAATTATGCTATGTTGGCATTTTAATGGTCTTCTAATATTCCATGGAACTGAGTTACCTGCTCTGGGTTTTTGTTTTGTTTTTAATATTTATTTGAGACAGAGAGCGCCCGAGCAAGTGCAAGTGCGAGCGGGAGAGAGGGGCGGATGGGAGAGGGAGAGAATCTCAAGCAGACTCCACACTGAGCGGAGGGCCTGCCACTGGGCTCCATGACCTGAGCTGAGCTGAGATCAAGAGTCAGATGCTTAACCAACTGAGCCACCCAAGACCCCCCTGCTCTGGTATTTTTGCACATGCAGTTTTGTGAGGGGGTTTGTGGCTATAAAGTTTAAATAGGCATCTTTATCCCCAAGTCTGTGTTCACATTTTAAATTAGTTCCTTACAATAGATTTCTAGAAGTCAAGTTACTGGAACAAAGCATAAATAAGGTTCTTTATACCTAATGCTAAACTGTTTCAAAAGTTCCTCTTAATAGGAGACTTTTTGGTAATAGTTATGACTTTACAAATCTATTAAATATGCTTTACTCCGTTTGTAGCTTTTAAGCAAAATGTAAGATCTAAAAGGAGGGAACCTGAACTGAATATGAAGGCTTTTTTCCCTTCCCCATTCTCTGTTCCCTGTCGAATCAAGAATAATTTAACTTATGCATAAGTTTCAATAAGCTAATATTTTTCATGTAGGATATAGAAGACTTGGATCACTATGAGATGAAGGAAGAAGAGCCTGTTAGTGGAAAAAAATCAGAGGATGAAGGAATTGAAAAAGAAAACTTGGCAATACTAGAGAAAATTAGGAAGACTCAAAGGCAAGACCATCTCAATGTAAGTATGTGCCAATATCTAGAACCTGGACTTTTGGGATTGAGTAATTATAGGTAATAATATAAAACTGGGCAAGTCATTAAGAGACCAGTCTAGGCTGCTCTCCTCCACCCTTGCCTGTGTTGTGCATTCAGCCATTTGTTGCCCTAGTGGGTTGTTGTTGTTGTTGAAGTGTCTCATCTGTTGGTAGCTTTCTACCATGCTCATCTGCTTTTTACGTGCTGGAATTAACCTGCTGTTCACTGTATACACACCTCCTTTCCAGACTATATCGCTTACCCTTCTCCTATGAGATCTGTGTATTTAAATTTAGTGTCTTCTACAAAGTACAGTTTAAATTCTTCTCCACCTCTAACCAAATCAAAAGTATTTTTTTCTTTTGACTTAACATCACTTTCATGTGAAGTTGCATGGGGCATGAAACGAACACTGAGTCTGGTAATAAACACAGGTATGTGGCTTCAGTTTCCTCAACACGAAAATATGGATAATATATACCTTTTGGATGATTGCTGAGAAGGATAAATGAGAATGATGCATATAAAATGCCCAAATTAGGGGCATTTTTGTTTCAACACTTCCTTCTCATTTCCTACCTTGTATTAGAGCTCTTTATCAAACTCGTGACATCTGAGGACCTTTGTCTTGGGTATAGGTTCTCAAAAACCAGGAATGAATTATTATGTAGGGAGATGCCAGGTGTTGTAAGCAGATAGATTACTCTCTCCTTCAGTCCAGCTGTATTTAATTGGCAAATCTTTTTTAGAGAGCAAAGAAATTTAGCTCTGCCCTTATCTTGATTATTTAAAAAAAAGTTTGTAGCATTTAAATTAATGATAACTATACTTTCTATCTCTTGTGACTGCTTTCCGTTTGGATATTACAGTCAAAACGAACACAAATTGTATTGAATGTTTTCACATGAGAGACACTAAGTACTTTAAATTTTACATACCTTCCCCTTCAACCTTTATAGCCACTTTATAAAATATTGTTCCTATTTGTAGGTGTGAAACTAGGATTTAAACCAGTTAAGTAATGTACTCAAGGTCACAAAGCTAGGAAGTAATAGCTTTGTGAACGTGATTGCCACCCATCCCCCAAAGTGTAGTGCTGCCATTAACATTTTGAATTTTACATGATCAGTTCTTTTTTTTAATTGAGGAATTCTAAATGTGAGAAATAGTTGGCATTCATATTCAGTCTTAGAATAAGACATTGGTGCATTTTCATTTTTAAAGAAATGCCAACATTGAAAAGAACTGAAACTAGTTGCATGCAGGTGAACATGTTATTTCTCAGTTTCTTAATATGTAAAGTAGACCTTCAGTATAACATTCTTCCTTATAGTCTGACTAATGAAACTGTTTTAGTTGATAGTGTAAAATGGTAAGGGCCATCTAGTATTTTCAAAAATTGATGGTGATGCTACATACTTAAAAGAATAGCTAAAATTAAAAAAAAAAAATTAAAGAATGGCCAAAATCAGGAACAGTGACAACACCAAATGCTGACGAGGATGTGAAGCAATAGGAATTCTCACTCCTTGCTCATGGGAATGCAAAATGGTACAGCCACTTTTGAAGACAGTCTGGCAGATTCTTAGAAAACTAAACATAATTTTTACCACGTATTCCAGCAGTTGCACTCTTTGGTATACCCAAATGAATTGAAGACTTATGTCCAAACACCTGCATACAGATGTTTATAGCAACTTTATTCATAATTATGAAAACTTGGAAGGAACCAGGGTATCCATCCCTTCAGTAGGTGAACAGATAAACTGTGGCATATCCTGACAATATGGAATATTATTCCCTGCTAAAAAACAAGTGAGCTATCAAACCATGAAAAGACACAGGAACCTTAAATCTACTATTACTAAGTGAAAGAAGCCGATCTGGTGAAAAAGATACACAACTGTATGTTTCCAACTATATGACTTTCTGGAAAAGTCAAAACTAAGGAGACAGCAAAAAGATCAGTGCTTGCCAGAGGTGGGGTGGAGGGATAAATACGTGGAGCACAGAGGATTTTTAGGGCAGTGAAAATACTCTGTATGATACTATGATGATGGATATGTGTCGTTAGGCATTTTCCAAACCCATTTAGTGTACAGCACCAAAGATGAACCTTAAGGTAATTTATGGATTTCACTGGTAATGATGTGTCAGTGTAGGTTTATCAGTTTAGCAAATGTACTTTCTGATGAGGGATATTGATAATGAGAGAGACTGTGTGTTGTGGGAGCAGTTATATGGGAAATCTCTGTACCTTTCTCTCAACTTTTCTGTGAACCTAAAAATGCTCTAAAAAATAAAATCCTAAAGAGAAAAAAAATTAATAGTTTAAAAAAAATCATTGGAGTTTGAAATAGGTTTATACTAAGTTCTAGGCTATTGCAGGAACCATGGTAATCTAGACATGTTGGTTAGACTTTTTTTTTTTTTCCAGATGATAAGAAACAGTAAATGAGCCAGACTTGTCCCGCATTTTATATTTCTATTGAAACTTCATAATCCTCAATTCAATTAAACTTCTTTGATTTTTTTTTTTTTAATGTCGAGATGTGATCTGTTTTTATAATCTCATTGTAAACTTTCATTTCAGGTTTATATACTTGAAATCTTCAGTTATTTGACTCCGTAGATCCTGGTAAACAGCAATTTTTATGTTGCAGGGTGCAGTATCTGGGTCTGTGCAAGCTTCAGATAGACTTATGAAAGAGCTCAGGGACATATACAGATCACAGAGTTATAAAGCAGGTAAGGACCTCTGGATCTCTACTCTGTTGTCCTTATGCTGTTTTCAATTTTCAGGTAGTAAACTTCAGTTCTTACAATGTTACTGGATAGAAACAGAAATGGTTATTAACTTTATTTTAGGGATGTGAAATGCAGATTTAATCAAGTTATTAATAGATGTGGAAGGTAAAATAGGATGAGTTTACTTGCTCTTTGGGTTTTTGAAAGTTGTTTTTATGGATACCTCATAATTTTTTTGTCTTCTTGCTGACTGGGATTAACTCATGATTTTTAGCTTCTGGGAAAAGTATGAGTAATATCTGCTTTGGAAAGTAAATAAGATACATATGTTATTGTATGAACAAAGAACTATTGCTGAGTTGATTTTTATGATTTTTCCTTATTTTTTGAAAACAAAATCAACTTTTATTGTATAAGTGGTTATGGTATCACTTTAAAAATAGGTGGGGTTTTTTTATTCATTTCATAGTTTGACTTTGAGTGTTCTTTCTTGCCCAGTAAGACTTAAATATTGTGGAACCGCTCTAATTGAAGTAAAATTCCCTTTGGTTGTCAGAGATTCTAACTACATTAAAATAAGGGAAAGAGCCAAATTTTAATATGTTTGAAAAGTTAGCTTTGTGATCCGTTCAGTAATTCTCAGAGTGACCAAATCTAAATCTTATAGCTTACTTAGTAAAAACAAAAAGCAAAAAAAATTTTCTGCTTTAGAGTGCAAGGTAAGCCAAATTTGACTCTTGATTTATTAGAAGTTTTGGCATCCTGTTTTTCTTATTAGAAGTCTAAAAGTTTATCTGTAGAAACTTAAGTGCAGTTAAATTTTTAAATATGGGTTTACTTTTAAATGTTAAATAATTACTTGTTATAGCATTGTTTGTAGTAGCAAAAAATTAAAAATTAATCAGATCATAGGGTTGAATTGGTTAAATTATGGTATATCCATAAAATAAATTTCCATAGAGTTATTAAAAAATTGACAGTAGACTTCTTATATACTAAATTGGAAAGATGCCCTGGAAAGTTGAAGAAAGATTATACAACTATGTAGAGGGATTCCATTTTTATAGAAATATTTGTATATGCATAAAAGAAGAGTCTTAAGGTACATAAGATTTTGCATAATTTTTCCCCTCCCACTCACAGTCAGACAGTTTCTCAACTCATTAAAAAATCGTCTTCATTGATGGCTTTAATTATCTGTTAAGAGCCTAAGCTACTCAGCTCCAATGGCAAAATATTTATAATATAGCTTAGTTCTGTGTTTTAATAGCAAAGTTTCTAGATTTTGATGGTTATTTAGTGTGTTCATTTACATTGAAGTAGTAGTTATAAGATCAAATAAAGAGTAACCTAGAGGCTCCTGGGTGGCTCAGTTGGTTAAACGTCCGACACTTGATTTTGGCTCAGATCATGATCTCAGGGTCGTGGGATAGAGTCCCACATCAGGCTCCACACCCAGCTTGGGATTTCCTCTCTCTCCCTCTGCCCTTACCCCCACCTCTCTCTTTAAGCAAATAAACAAACAAATAAATAAATAAATAAATAAATAAATAAAAAGTAATCTACGTGTTCTATATCTTTACAGGGATTTATTCAGTGGAACTGATAAATGACAGTTTATATGACTGGCATGTTAAACTGCAGAAGTAAGTGACTCTTACATGCTAACCCAGTCTTTGTAATGACAGACTATCACAGCGGAAATTTTTTTCCCCCTAATTTGATACCTTGTACGCTATAGTTTTTACTTAGAACTTTAGACTGTGTTTCTATAGAAATAGTTCTCAGGTTGTTAAGATAAGCTGTTTCTTGGGCTTAAATAAGTGAAGTCAGAAAGAGGAAGAAGAAAAAGAAGGACCAGCTGTGGGATAAAGTGTTTCATGGAGTTAGTGAGATAATTGGGAAGTATAGAAACAAAAGTGTGTTTAATAACCTGATTGACCGTGATAACCAGTTTATATTTGAAATGAGGAATTTGAGTAGGACCTCAATGTGTAGAACAGTTGTAGACAGATTCAGATTTTGTTAGTGATTTCACTTTTTCTGGTCTCGTCTGTGATAAATTTCTCTCCTTGAACCCCTTGGCTAGTAATACAATTTTAGAGAAGCAGATTAATTTTTTTTGAGTTCTTGAGAAAATTTATATACATAAGACTTCCCTAGGATGACTGCTAACTTTGAATCTCCTTGGAATGGATTTAGAATACTGTGACCTTTTTGGACATTTAATCCCAAGGAGTCCGAGGCTATTGCAATTTATTTTTCCAGGGACCATAGAGCAGTTTTATGTTTGAAACTTACCTGAGGGGCTCTGCTTTAGCTCTTGAACTGGTTCATTTTTGTGGTTACTAAGAAAAAAAATCTCTTGGTTTTTATTTGAATTGTTTTTTGTTTTGTAATTCTTAGGGTTGATCCTGATAGTCCTTTGCACAGTGATCTTCAGATCTTAAAAGAAAAAGAAGGCATAGAATATATTTTGCTTAACTTCTCTTTTAAGGTAAGAAAATGTTAAGGGGACTCCGTGTGCTTCTAATGGGAATGTATATTTTTATAATTGCTTTGGAGAACAGTTTGGTATTACTTGTTAAAGTAGAAGGTATTTCCTGTGGTTCAGGAATTCTCCTCATAGTATATACCCCACAGGAAATTAGTACTTAGGTACACCAGGAGACCTATACAAGACTGTTCAGAGCTGTGTTGTTTATAATAACGCCAAACAGGAAATAACCCAAGTGTCCAAGTAGAATGGAGAATTGTGTTATTCATATAAAAAGGAAAATGTGTAAAATGTGGGTGAATCTTAAACACAGTGTTGAGCAAAAGAAACCAGACCCCAAAACATGTTTTGTACAATTGCATTTATATAGAGCTCAAAAATAGGTAAAACTAAATTATAATTGTTTAGGGTGTGCATCTGCATCTCATTGGAGGCAGGATCCCCACCAGTGGGGTGAAAACTCCTTCGAGTGAAAAAAAAATCTTAAGATATTATAATGGTCTGTGACCCTTTAAGGGACCACATTTTATTTTATTTTTTTTTATTTTTTATTTTTTTTTTTTTTTTGGATGTTTGCCATAATTTTTTTTTTTTTTTTTTTTTTTGACAGATGCCTAAGAACC